AGTTCAAGTTGTATTTAGAGACCTGAAGAGCTCTGGTACGAACCGAAACAGGTTACTCCCTTATATAAGCTATATAGGTATGTAATGCCCCTAAGGTTACGGTTTTTGGGCCTTTTTGGCCTGGAATCGGGTATGGTTTTCGAGAGAACTAGGAGAGTGTATGAATGTATTGATCGTTTCAATTCCAATGAATAAGAACGAAGTAGAAATATGCGAATTCGAAATGCATTTGAAGAAAATGAACGCTGTAGGGACCTTGAGCTAGTGTTCTCATTAGTGAGAGTCCGTAATAGCTGGAGTTACTTTAGTCAAACGTTTGTAAATTATTTTTGCTTGGGATTTAGCTGTTGTCCGTATTATCGGAGTGTCTTTTATAGCGGGGTGTCCGCAAGACGAGAGTTGAATGTATTACGGACTCTCGCTTAATGAGGACGCTAACTCGAGTTCCCTACAGTGTCCGCTATAAAGTTGACTGTACTTCAGGTGTTGTGCGGACAGTTCTAGATATTTGACTATGGCAGAGATTAATGAAGAACCCACAGTCTGTACACGCTGGAGGAAGAGAGCTATTTTAGCAGGTTTTGTTTCTGCATTTTTTTCTCGTTTTGGCGGGTACTGTTTTACTATCGTTGTTTTTTATTTTATCAGCTGGAAACAGACCTTGTCAACTGCGTAACTCGCTTCACTGTCGCAGATCGTCAAACTCATTTGCAGGAGAGATTTTCGGAGCTGTCTCCGTCGTTCCTTACTATTTCAGGAGAGTCTCAACAATGGGAAGAAGTTTTCCTACTCCAGCTACTGTCTCCGAGATTCCCACTGAAGACTTAGAAAAATCACCCGCTCCAATACTTCCGGATGTCTCACGGCAATCAAATGAAGGATTTTGGACAGGAGATATTGATGCGGATGATGAAAGTCCACCACCTTGTTACGAACAGGCTCTTAAAATGGCAGGGTTGTCCTAATACGATTTTGAAACGCATAGCAGTGAGGAGCAATACTATAATGCTGTAATCTAAATAGACTGCGAGCAATCTCTTATTATATACTGTCCATAAGTTTACCCCAGCATTTTGTCCACGGAATCAAAAGTTGGCACCATCTTACTAGACTCCACTCATTTACTTTGGGAGAGATCAGAAAATATTAATCTTGGAATTTTGAAATACTCTTGCTTTAATAAAAGGTAACGATTTGATCTGTCTGCAAGCAGTGTGAATATTGTTACCCAACTAACAAAACCATGGTTCACAAATAACTCTTCTTTGCAACTTAGAATACGAAACATAAGTTCTTTTATACTTCACCTAAAAAGCTGTCCCTTAAATATAAATATAAATATCTCGCAGTTCATCAAACGTAAATTAAACTAAGAGCCATTTCCCATTATGGCTCTTGTTTAAACTTGACAAAAAAGGCCCCAGACGCAAGTTGCAGCTCCGGCTTTTAAATCATCGCGAATTAAAACAAAATTGTTTGAGACAGTAATCTATTGCATGAAGTACATACTTCTCAAATAGGGATACCTTTTTTGTTACATTGACTAAGTTTTTGTACTGTTCTGTGCGTTTCCATTTCTTTGCAAGTGGTCCTTAATTCACAGTTAGGTAACATTTTCTTGAGTTTAAGTAATTAAGCAAAAAAACCGTTTTGTGATGGCAAAAAGTCTAATTATTATGTTCAGTTAGCCGTTTAGGTCGCTGAATCAATTGACAGTCAAAAGTTTTATCTCTGTCAAAAGCCGTCGGCGCTATTTGCCAGACATACTTGTAGTATTTACAATGAAAAGAAGCTCATTATTTTCAGAAAATGCGGAGAGAAAATGCGGAGAGAAAATCTTTAACTAACTGTTCCATATATTTTTGCCCACGTTTCCACCCAATGGTAAATGGTCTAAATGAAATCAAACAGATGAAACATAAAACTCCTCAAACGGCATTTGCCCATGGTGGAAGGAGAGGTTTTCACTCATGTTTCAATACATGTAACACTGTTAGGAGATATAATGTCTAAAAACTGTTTTCTACTTGCACCCTTGATCCAACTTCAATCTGCTAACTCAAACAGTCAACCTATGCCAACGTTTTAAAAAACGCCTCAGACATTTGACAGTGGTGGAAGTGGAGGTTTTCACTATAGTCCTGTGTGCTCAAACCATGGAAGATCAGTGCTCAATACATGCAACTGAAACTGTTAAGAAACATAATATAAAAAAAACTGTTTCAGTTATATATGCACACATGAAAATCCAACTTCAATCTGCTGAATCAAAGAATAAACCCAAGTCAACGTGAACGGCCCAGACATTTGACAGTGGTGCAGAAGTAGAGGTTTTCGCTTAGTCCTTATGGTTAATACATGCAGGACTATTACGAGATATAATTTGTAAAAACTGAATTATATTTGCACCCATGAAAATCCATGAAAATCCAACTTCAATGATTCAAGGAATCAACCAAAGTCAATGCAAGTTTGGCTGCCCTGAAGTCTTAATAATCTGGGGTTATAATCACGCCTACAGTCTTGTATCTTCATTATTTCCTTGCTGATGCTGATCTTCAAGGTTGGACCCGATTGATATCAAACCATACATTCTAAGAGCTTGCTCATAACATGGTGGCGGGTTATTTTCATCATCCGAGTTATCAATGTCTTCCGTCCAAAATCCTTGCTGTTCTAAGTGTGGAGAAACTTTCGGAACATTTGAAATCGCAATAAAGTAGTCAGGCAAATCTGTAGAACAAGCTTCAGCACATATCGGACGATGAGGAATATGATTATACGGAAGGATTGGAGCTGGAGATTTTTCCAAATCTTCCATGGGAATCTCGGAGACAACAACGTCTATTGAGTTGCTTTCAGGCCTGTGTCTTTTGTTGCAAGCTATTACTGCAGCTCCACTGACAACAAAAAATAAGATGAAGACACCTCCACAAATCTTTCCAACTAACGCGATATTTGATTGGCTACAATCATCTTTCTCTTGCGAATTGCAAGATTTAGCGGAAACTTTCGTCAAAGCAAGCAAAACTGAAAGCAACACAATACACATGGAGGCTACTACAAAAACTGCAACGCTAGTTTTTCCTCTTAAAAGAGTCGACCAGTTTGATACTCTTGGCTCTTCGTTGATATTATCAGTCATTATTCAAAACATCACTCAAGTGTCTGAAGAAATACGAGATAAGAAAATTTGGTTCCATTTCCTGCCACTCGCCATGCACATTTAAACCAAGAGATGTTTGCAAGTACAATTGAGGCAATGGTCACGTTCAACCCCCATTAGGTAGACTGAAAACAAAAGGCTCAACGAGGTAGAACCAGAAGCTGACCAAAAAGGAATTGGAAGAAGTTCTAACTTTTAAGTCTGTGGATCAAATCCTATCGTGTGACCATTCAAATGAAACCTCTTTGTCAGTACTTCACTGGGCTTTATTTTGTTTTTTCATAAAACAAAAAGCCATTTTGTATTTTAACAGTTAGTTTTCGGCACACTTGAATAGATCAGAAGACAAAGGACAAAGGACCAAAGCCTAAAATTAAAACTAAATGACCTGATATCACCTGATGTCGCAACAGTTCCCCGAGACGACCCGCGCGGCCGGTTCCAGGGAAACTCCAGATAACATGATAAGTTACCGTGTTGATAAACGTTATTAACTCAAATAAGTACTAAGGAAATATTTTTAATGGTTTACTTTTCGAGCACTAACCATCCTCCGCAGCAAATCTAGCACTTGATCGGTACCACTTTAGAAATACCGTACAAGAGAAGCACTCTTGACGTAGACATGTTTTTCGTTCCAGTTGTATTTTGTTATACGTTTGTTATGACTGTTTATTTCAAGGAGTAATTAGCATATTAAAAATCTTTCAAGAACGTTCTGTATCAGGTTTTAAACTGGACAAACAGGTTTTTCTTGAAAAGGTCTTCGTGTTATATAAGCGGTCGTATTTCGCCAGGTTCTCTCTTTCGTTGGTAATCGATCTGTCACAAAGTTCTCTTGAGTTTTGCTCGTAAATAAAATTCAAGTTGTATTTAGAGACTTGGGGAGCTCTCGTACGAGCCGAAACAGGTTAAAGGCCCAGAACATTGCCACTAGGCTAGTCCCCGAACTGCAATAGAGACCGGGAATCAACAGCGTGCCTGAATGCCTGCCGCCATATCTGCATTTTGCTGTGCTGCCTGGCCTGGCGATATTTTTGAGATGACGCCGCTTCCAAATCGAGAAACCGTTGCTGTTCTTCATTTTAATTGGTCAAATGATTTGACGTGGAAGGTTCAAGCTTTCTGGTTTGGAGAAATAAGTTACACTGAGCGTGCTTCTGGTGTAAAAGAAAACTGTCCGAGGTTTCTGGCTCGAAAGAGCGTTGGCAACAATCCTGCTGTCAGTAGAACAACCGTTCATGCTATTTTTACTTGCCGGGCGTTAACGCCCTGCTACCGTGTGAAAGAGGCTGAAAAGTGGGAATTCAGAGCTGAACTTGGGTCAGCAAGTTGCAATAAGGCACATTTTTTTCTTTGAAGGTTAAAGAGGGCGATTCTGTAAAAAAAAATAATGACGGAGATTTTTTGATTGGCTGTCAGTGACTGAGGAATCTATTCCTGAAGACCGTAATGTTGTGCACTTACTGGCCAGCGCCCACATCATATATATAATGTGATGGGTGCTGACCTTAAAACAAAGGATGATGTACCTAAGATGGAAATTGCTACTTAACGTTTGCTGCATGAAGACAAAAATCTCATGGATTGGCTTTGATCGATTCCGGCATGCAGAGAAGGAGCGAGAAACCAAAAGGAAAGACAATTGAGGAATTAAAGCGAATGGACAAGAAAAGAAAACTAACTCAAAATAAAAGGAAGCTAGTAGTGCTCAAAATAGAAGGTGAATAGGGACGTCAGGGGAAGGGACAGTAGCAGTTCGAATGCAGAATGTGTTAGCGAGATCTCCTGGAAACCTGATTGAAGTAATCGTGAGTCAGGATGAAACTGTCACATGCGTGGTGATTATAATCTATTTGACAGTCTGAAGCAGATACTGGAGGTCATGTTTGGTAATGCAGGGATACGAAGTGGAAGTGCCACTGTCGTGTTGGAGTTGACATCGGTTGGCAGTAAAGTTAGAGGCTGCAAACTAAGTGCCTGTCGTAAAACCTGTTGAGCGTATGAAAGACAGCAAAGGTAGAAAGGTGGCAAAGTTGAGTGAGACTGGGCGTGAAATATTGGAATCAAACATGACGGTTACCGCTAAGGGCCAGGGTTGTACAATTTGCACTGTCAGGCTGATAATGATCAAGCCAATGAAGCTGTGAACGAAAATATGGCCACCTTGAAAGACGAAACCTGCGAAAGTTGTCCAAAAAAAACTGGTTGATGATTTGATCAACAGCAATACGCCGAGAAACGTATTTTTGGATCTCATGTGTGGAAGGAACACGCCACAGAAGAAAGTTGCAGCAAGAGCCCATTATGGCTCTTGGTTCCAGTTGATGGAGCGCATCTCAGGGGAATTAATTTGTAAAAGTTCTTAAGGAAAGGAGTTAGACAAGAGCTGACTGCACTTAATACTCCTCAGCAGAATGCTCATGAATAGCACACTGGTTGAAGCGGTGCCACATATGCTAGTTGATGTGAGAGGATACCACATCGTTTTCAAGTCAAAGCTGATTGCATACGGCCGGTGAACTGAGAAATCCGTTCGACAAATGCAGTCGAAGGGAAGACACCTTTTGAAGCCTAGACGGGGCAAAATACAACTATAGGTCACCAGAAACTGGATGCAAAATCGAGGAAGTGCGGAATCGTAGGTTGCGGCACTGAGAGGAAGGGTTACCGATTGGATAATCCAAGGCTTCAAAGCCGGGGTCTTTTGTGGCCACTTTCGAGTTTCGTAAGCCCCAGCGTAAAGAAGTGGCGAGCGATTTGTGAGCTGATTGGACTTCCACGATAGATAGAAAACTATATTAAACCACGGTAGATTTGACTTCCACGATAGATAAAAAACTTTATTGAACCACGGTAGGTTTGAACAGAAATTATGATACATTGCCCTTTTGTTCTTCCCAAAAGGCGTGAAACATGTGATGAAAAACATGCAGCTGGTATAGAATACACAGCTGACGGATAGGGGTAGATCCACTGGTGCGAAGATCAAAGCACATGATTATTACTGAGAATGAGCAAGTGTCCAGAATGCCAAGTTAACTGAGCCACTGGACAGCCCAGATTGTAAGGCAAAAGAGAATGAAATTGATCCCATTTGAGACAATGTTTGGGAGTTGATGAATGTTCCAAAGGGATGGAAAGCTGTTAGAAACACTGTTAGAGACAAGTCGGTACTCATGGTCAAAACAGATGCCGAGAGTCCGTAAAACGGTTTAAAGCCCGGTTGTGCCCCAAAGTTTATTACGATGAGACATTTTTCCCAGTCACCAGGTTCGGATCAGCCACGTTGACGGGCCTTCCAACTGCACAGATTCCTTAATGTATGGTAAATTGAAAGGCGAGGACTCGATAAAAAGGCCCGAGAATCTTGTGGTTAACTATAAGGGTCTAGACCGTTTGGACAAACCGGTCATTTATTTTCTATGGATTAAAATTAAAACAATTGTCCAGTTGCTGGAACTCAGTGCAGGATTAGCACTTACAGAACCTTGCGTTTATTCTGTTGGTTAGTGACCCGTGCAGCTTTGAAGATTCAGCAGGAAAGATGTTCATGAGACTCAGCATGTTTTATCGTGCCGTGTCTAATGCCACGACATATTTTATGCATGCGTTAGCTTCTGTAGTGAATTTTTATTCCATAGTTTCTAACGTGTTTTTGTTTCCAGTGTAACTTTAAATAGAAACCATTTAATAGGCAAGTCATGGTCCTGTCAACGATACAGCTNCCCTTTTTTATAAGCCCATTAATGTAATAATGGAATTCTTTTGGCTTTTCTCCAAAAAAACAAAAAATTTAAACTAAAATTAAAGGGCAAACCGAAAAAAAGTGGAAAAAAAAAAAATTAAAACCCCGGGGGGGGTCTAGGGGGGGGGGGGCGGGGGGGCCCCCCCCCCCCCCCCCACCCCTGAGATGACCGGCGGTTTTCTAATACAACTGGTATTCTGCAAAAAAAACTATGTGGTTTATTGGTGTTGAAGTAGAGCAAGAGACGAGTGCACCCCCTCCTAAAAAAAATCCTGGATCCGCCCAAGTAACGTTAAGGCTTGTACTTTTTTTTTTTAGTTTCGTGCTTCTGTTCCGTTCCAGTTGTTCCAGTCGCATTAGTGTTTTATAGATGTTATGAGGTAGTTGCCTTTAGTTTTGTTTTTCAGTGTTGCTATTTTAAGATCTTGCTAGCTTCGTGATAAACAGTTTATAGACTTTTTATAGACTTAGAAACTTAGAGATTCAATGTATTTCCCCACATGGTTAGTTCCTGAGTTTTTGTCTAGTATTATCCATTTGAAGTGTTTGTTAAATTTAGTTTTGGTTCTTTGAAGTAGGCTTGTTTGGGGAGTACAGCTGACCTTGAGTTTTACCCACAGTCGAGTTCCTGTTTTCAATTTGTATGTTTTGTCCTTCTGGGCAGTTTCACTGTTAGCATTTAACTGGTTCTTTGGTACTTGTCGGTTGCGGCTGTGTAGGCTTATCTAACTATAGCAAACCTGTTGCGATATAGGCGATAAGGTATTCAATAGAAACTCTTCCGGTCAGCTAACTCAAAATAAGTCTACAATATGGTTATTTAATTCGCTGTGTAAGCTATAGTTGAGTAGTCGAGTTGTTGTCAGAAGCTGCTGAAGAATAAACTGCTGTCTAAAGAGAAAGAACAGAGTCTTGGTCCTCTCGTTGGAAAGCCAAGCGAGCTTCACAAGCCCTCAACATACTTGGTGGAGAACATTCTCCGTTTATTGTGACGCACAAAAAATGCATTATAAATGTAACTCTAAACGTAATGGTATGTTTGCTTTAATTCGTTTCTCAGATACCTTTTACCTCGTCGTTCCGAAAACCCAAAACCCCATAAATAGCCGGAGCCCAGTGCTATTATGTGGGATTTAAAGACCGTGATTCAAAGTGTTGTCTTAACTCAGTCTGTATGCTCAATACATACAAGCCGGACTGTTAACTAAAGAGATTTAATGTCTAAAAACTGTGAAAGTTCTATATATATATGGATAACTACAGGTGAGTTCCACACTGCTAAATCTGGGAGAGTGCTCAACAATTATGGAGCGGTAATAACAAAGCTTTTCTACTCAATTTTGTTTCATATCAATCATGGACTTTAATACAATACTGTTTCGTAGGCCAACGAAGCGTTGACCAACTCATCAGTTAAATTCCATATACACTGAAGCATCGTTAGAGTTTATTTATATACATCAGCATCATGATCTAAGCCGTTACAATATTCGAAGAAAAACAGTATATATATTTTTTTACATTACTACAAGGCAGGAGATCAAGCAAGCTCTGTAGAGCTTTTACACGATCTCCGCTTTATTCTAAGTAAATCTAAAGAATAAAAAAGGCAGACTTCCTGTTTTACGAACTGATATGAACTAAAACTATTACAATTATTTCTTAATCACACACTCTTTGACTTTTTTCTTAAACATATTATACGAATTTCTGTTTCTTATATTTGAGGGAAGGTCGTTCTATATAAAAAGTTCTATATTTGCACCAGGCATGAAAATCCAATCTGCTGACTCAAAGAAGTATCAGCCTAAAGTCAACGTTTTAAAAAACGCCTCAGACATTTGATAGTGGTGGGAGTTGAGGTTTTCACTCAGTCTGTATGCTCAATACATGCAAAACTGTGAGTAAAATGTCTAAGAACTGTTTATAACATAGCGCGCGTGCTTGCCCTATATAAAGCCCGGTTTCCATATGATCGCTATGAGATCGCTGCAATCATATAGAAACCTCTCCAGCGATCGCAGCGACAACGATCGTTGAGATAGAACACTTTTTGTATCTCAGCGATCGTTGTCGCTGCCATCGCTGGAAAGTGGTTTTCATATGATCGCTGCGATCGCTGAACTTTTTTTTCTCAGGCCCAGTTCAGACGTCGTGCTTCTGCCGTGCCGAACTTAATTGTAATTTGGTTCGACTATAGCACGGCAGGAAAACAACTTTGATTCAGACGTCGTGCCAGAGTCGAACCAAATTCAGGATTTACTGATGCCTCGAAACAATTCTTCTCCCAACTCCCCGTGGGAACGCAATCTCGCCAAAATACATCAATATAATTTATGAATTTTGTTTAGCGCGGCAGAAGCAAGACGTTTGAATCGCTGTTGTGCCAGAGCCGTGTAGCACGGCAGCGCTTGTCGAACTTAATTGCTTGCCGAACTCAATTCAAAAGTTTGATTCAGACGCCGTGCTTCTGCCGTGCTTTTGTCGAACTTAATTCCTGAATTTAGTTCGGCACGACAGAAGCACGACGTCTGAACTGGGCCTCAGCGATCGCAACGATCATATGGAAACCAGTCCTACTGAGCCGCTATGAACGCCTGTGCGTAAATAAAGTTTTTTTTCATGATGACGTGTTCAGTTGAGTTTTTCGTCTCTTTGCTTTAGTACTAAGTACCCAAAAATCGACGGCAATGATGAAAAACTTGCTAGCATTTTTGGAATTGAGCGTCTAGCCACTCAAACCAACAGCAAAAGCGGTGAAGATGTTTCGCAAATGATAGAGCCTGAATCGTTGAAGTCTGCCGGAAAGACTGACATTCAGCTGGAAAAAGACCACAAATTGCATGGTCTGTGTCGGGAAATATCCAATTTGTCTAAAGTGTCCTCCGTTTTTAACGTTTGTTCTAGTATCCTTTACAAGACAAGTTAATTATAAAGTAAGCTCAATAGCGAAAAGAGTATATGCACTTTTGTGATCGCCGGACAATCCGACTGAAGCAGGGAAAATTTCTCTTGCAATATAACAAGACAAATTACACAAGAAGACATAAATTTATTACTCACAAAAACAACTGCTACCGGGTCTTCTCAAGAAGCCGTAATGACCAGCTGTTGCTCGTAAATGAATGTAAAGTAAGATGACAGTCATCTTCGCTAAAAGGCAAGTTTTCTGGATGTCGCCGAACAAAATAAACATCTTTTCCGCGAATCCAAACCAAACTCCACGACTTCTTACGAACATGTGAGTATTTTAACTTTAGGTGGACTAACGGTCTCGCTTACCTGTGTTTCTGCTTGGTTCCCATTGATCGTTAACGAATAAATAGGCTAATTTTCTTTCTCAGTTTTACAGAAAAAATTTTCATTCAAACCAGACGATTGTGGCGTGTTTTTAACGAGCCAATGGAAACGTTCTTTTTTCTGTGTCGCGCGTTAGGAGAATTTTGCAGTTAATCAAAAAGCAAGCATTTCTGTCAGGTGATTTGTCAGCTATGAATTTGCTCATGTCTTTAGCTGTGCGTATATCGAGTTATGGGTGCACTTGGGAAGTTTGGAGAGCACTCAAGAAGCTAGAACTCTTACGCATCTTTCGTGCTCTCCAAACTTTGCATCCATAACTCGATATACGCATGCTAAGTATGAACAAATTCTTAATTTATACAAAATTAATTTTACACTGTATTTGCACTCATGAAAATCCAACTGCAATCTGTTGACTCAAAGAATCAACCAAAGTCATTGCACTAGTGATAAGAAATCCGGGTTTATGATATTCAAAGTCTTGTATCCTCAATTTGTCCCTCCTGATTTGGCTGATCATATTCTAAGTCGGCAGCAACTGAAACATATTTCGACATTCGAAGAGCTTCCTCATAACATGGTGGCGGGCCATTTTCATCATCCGAGGCATCAATGTCTGTCGTCCAAAATCCCCCACTTAATTGTGTTGAAACTTCAGAAACATTTGAAATCGCAATGAAGTAGTCAGGCAAATCTGTTAAACAAGCTTGACAGATCGCCGGGCGATGAGGAATGTTATTATACGGAAGGATTGGGGCTGGAGATTTTTCCAAGTCTTCTATGGGAACTTCGGAGACGACAACATCTCTTATTTTTCTCTCTCTCTTGTTGCGAGCTATTATTACAGCTCCACTGCCAACAAAAATAATGAGAAAGGTACCACCACAAATCTTTCCAAGGACTGCGAGCTTTGATTCACCGCAATCATCTTTCTCTTCTGTGTTGCAAGATTTAGGCCCTCTAGAGAAAGCAAACAAAACCGAAAGAACGACACCACACAGTAAAACTACTACAAAAATTGCAACACCAGTTTTTCCTCTGCAAAGAGTCGCCCATCTCGATAATCTCGATACTCTTTGTTCTTCAGTGGTATTTTCTGTCATCATTAAAAAATCACGTAAGTTTCCTGTGAATCATCAGTTATCAAAATTTGGTTCCATTTTAGTCTGCCAAACCCCCAAATATGCAAAACCTCTAGAATGCAGCATAACGAGGCATATCAAGTTCTTGCACGTACAAATGAGCTGAGGTCACGAAGCACCAGCATATCAAGTTTTTTAGCTGGGCTTAAAACAATAGACTTTACGAAGTAGAACAATATGTTGAGCAAAGCGGAACTTTGTTATATAAGGTAAAAGAGTAAAGTTCCCCGGTCAAGGTCAACCTTTCACCGCCGGAATCTGTTATATGAAGTACTTGAGTCTGTGAATGAAATGAAACCTCCCCGTCAATTTTATTTTATTTTTCGCTCATTTTTCTCTCATTTTCACAGACAATTGGATTTTTTACTCATTCATTACTTCTCGGTTCACTTGGATGGAATTCAAAAGAGCTTACCTGCTAACCTTTGTTCACTGAAGTGAACAGTTCTAATAATAGTAAGTTTCCCTGTCTACAACCCGCTTGGTTTGTGGTTTGACGTACTTAACATAACAACACAGAATAACAAGACACGCCAATCACCCTGCTATTAATCGCATCAGATATACTAAAGAAGCTGTTGAAGCTTGCCTCCAGTAGGTTACTTGTGCGAGGCGTGATCATGACACCCATTGATCATAGCAACGGTCTTCTCCCTTGGCCTTCTCTAAGGTGTACAAACTGTGTATCTCTCCAAATTATAACGTTTTCAAAATTCTGCAGCGCGACTTTTCACTGACCCATACACCAAGATACTGTCATAATGCCAGTGCTGCATGTGCTGCATTGGATACCGGTGAAGTTCCGAACTTGCTATAAAGTCGCGGTGATCTCTTTCCAGGCCTGATATCTTTCAAAGCTATTCACAGTGTATTTAAGCGAAACCTCATAAGAATTAGACGATGTTCTCGCTACAACCTTCAATGCAATGTGGGAGTTATTTTGTAAGACACCATACGGCTAAGTTAAAGCGCACTCTTGGGGAAAGATTATTCAAACATACATACGGAACTTTTTATCGATTTTTACCTCAATACTAGCCTTCCCCACAGAGGAAACCAGAAAAAAGTCGGCAACGCAGCCTATCCGACTTCGTTAGGGAAGAGAATAATTTTGATAAGTTTAAGAGACTATTTAAGACCTTTTTTTTATAGGCGCCTACAGTGACTTGGCTTTAGTAATCAGAAGTTCTTTTATTGTCTCCTTTTTTTGCTATTTTTATCTCTTAATTGTTCTTAGTCATACTAGAGTACATATTGCGTGTATAAGTAGGTTTGTTATATTCCTAGACTTTCACTCAACTAAACAGGGACTGCCATTGGTTGATTCTTGGTAAAGTGGCCTTGACTAAAATCAAATGTATCCCGAGGGTGGAAAGCGACGTGGCAGAAGGCGGGAAAAACCCTGCTAGTTTTTTTCGTGAATGAACACGACAACACAAACATGAAGTCTCAAGCTCAAAGTTATCCCACAGGAGAAACAGCAGCTAGTGGAGAAAAAAGGTGCAGATAATATAAGGAAGGTACTTTGTAAATCATTCATTCAGTGGTTTTGGTTATTAACCTTGTGTTATTTTAAGTACCGAGTCGACTGTTTTGATTCGCTCCGGTTACTCTTTTGTTGTTGTTGAAGTGAAGGTCTAGAAATATAACAAAACACTTAATGTCAGGTCCCTCGGGAAACCAGTTAGTTTTGTTTTTCCTCGAGTCCTGACGTTTCCCGAGACGAAGGGACTCTCGGAAAAACAAAACTAACTGTTTCCCTTGGGATCAGACATTAACATGATTAAGTGTATAGGCGGATTAATCGTGACGTTATTGTTTAAATTTTTGCTCGGTAGCATACGAGTTATAGAAGAAGTAGCCGTATACAAGTGTACCAAAACTACCGATTAGATTCAAAAATTAAAAGAGATGGTTAATTTATGCAGTTTGTGCAAGTTTCAGTTCTTTACAATCAGTAACAAAGAAAATAACAGTAATTAAACACTGCAAAATTACTGGGTGACAAAACGTGAATGAGCTCATACGTTCTTTGTGAATTTTGGGATTTTTCAAAGAGAATTTATCCGAAACTATTTGGTATGTCGGGCTCAAATTTTCAGAGATAACTAAAATTGTTATGCACTTTCAATATTTAGAAATTTCATTTTATTAGCGTCATCAGATAATGATAAGCCTATGCTAATGAGGCAAAAAATGTAAACGAGGATTCGCCCATACGTTATTTGTAAATGCAGCATCTAGTATAACTTTTGTTTTTTTTTAAGCGTTAGTCACAGACATGTTTGCTGCGCAGTAGTCATGGGCCCCTGTGCGCATTTGTTTGACGACTTATTATTATCACATATTATAGGACACGTGACATCGCACACAGTCCTATTAACGTGAAACAGCTTTACTTCTAAAACTTTACGTTACGTTCTAACTTACAATCTAGAAGTATCTTTCAATTTTCAGTTGACATTTCTACAACTAGATGTGATTAAAATGTTCACTGTGTAGTAAAAACTGTTTTTTCCTTACTCCCGGTATTTTTTTTATCGAGCTCCCGATAACTGGATCGAACTTTTTAAATTTTCGATTTAAATTTTCAAAACAGGGAGCCAAAGGGATAAACAATAACCAAGTAGAACTCGAGGTATAGATCACTCAGCAGTGTATCTCGTTCTTAAAACTTATTAGCCGAAATTAAATGACTATGCTACATGACAAGGAAATTACATACAGTATACATTCACCTCGTATTTTTTTAAGACAAACGTGTACGATCAAAATTAAGTTTGGTATAGATTACAGTATTATAGTCTTGCATCCTCACTGCTTCGTGCTTCGAAATCGTATTTGGACAACCCTGCCAGATCTGTAGGTTACCAACCAGGGAAATCAGTAATTACAACAACCATAGCGACAACGAAAGCCAAAAATGGCTTGCGTCCTTCTCGAATAAAGGTGAATCCGGCAAGAAAAATATCCGGAGTAACTGCAGAATTCTCAGCCACTTGACAAAATGGTTTCAAGGCAACGTATTGTCTTACCACTCGTTTGTTCAAAAACGTTAACACGCTTTATCATAATTAATAAGCTTTATTGTTAACATGAAGTGTACACGCTAAACAAAGAACGTACTGGATTTAACGCCTGAGCCGGAAAACAGCCGACATTTCGATACGCCACCGCTAGTTTTCCTGCGAATTGACGTCTGAGAAACGAGTGAATAAACGCAATACAATCCAGATCTGATTGGTTGAAACTTTGTTTCGTCCAATCAGAAATACTATCCAGATCTCGGTGTCGGCTGTTTTCGATTTAGACGACTTGTACGATATCGTGCGCGACTAGCCTGCGTCATGACTTCACGACGGATTGTGTGCGCGTGTCGATGGTCGACAGTCATGAAGTATGTTAGTCGCGCGCGATAGCAAAAATCGTACAGTCTAAATAGGCCTAGGATCACTGGATTCGGTTTCGTTTTCACCTTGTTCCCTCAGGGCGCGCGCTGATGACGCAAGCCTGGATATGAAGGGGACAGACTGTTCATAAGTAAGATTGCTGACAAGAGTGCCAAATTTGAATTGCCAAGACTCAGTTGGAAACTTCCTAACCCTTGCCCGAAATGTTTACAAATTCCTACAATCCCAAAACTTTGGGTGAACACAGGTAGTAAGGGACTCACAGTCGTTGCTAATTCTGAGTAAGTGCGGAAGGGTTCTTACAGGTTCTCAGTAAACTAGAAGCTTGTAGTACGCTTTTATGGTGGCCGTAAGACACGCGCAAGCCGGTGCAATGCGTCGTTGCAAGTAGGCTCGATTACCAGCCGTTGTTCGGGAAACCAGCCCGCATTCCTGAGAGAGCGGCGGAGGTTGAGCCTACGTTGCAAGCCAATCGTGTGATGGCGCGCGCAGTTCCAATGGTTTAAAAAATAACCGTTTTCTATAAAGATGCGTCAGTTTTTTTGAAAGGAAGTAAGGGAAAACTGAGAAAGAGAGAATACGAAGATGAATTCCGCTCAAAATTCCGTAAGTTCAGAGAATTTGACAGAGAAACCAAGAACTGAAAACCAACGCGTGAAGCTTTTAACAAAAGAAACGAACACTGTAGTTAAAAATGGATGGCTGACACCCTACATCGAAAAAGACCTCACCAAAACGCTAAGATCTTCAGAAAAAGTTGAACTATGGTTGAGAGCTCACTTTTCACACCCCATGAAACAGCCAGTTGATTTTGTACAAGACAATGAAGGGTTGCAATACGGAGCCGAGAGGACAAACGCGGCAGAAAGTGTGCTTACGAGTTTGGCGGCGCTGGGGATTTCATCTGGAATATTTTCAGCATTACAGGAAGAAGAGAACAGTTCTACAGCGAAATTTTGAAGAAGAATGAGTACTGCAGAACTTTTTCAGTGTAATAGCCCAAATTTTTAAATTATTTTTTAATGTCATGTTGCCAGACAAAACCGTGTTAAAAAAAATGATTTCAAGACCACAAGGGACCAAAACATCAGCTTAGTCATGGTTGTATTTAAAGTGTTTTTTTTTTGTTGCTAAATTTATGTTTCTGGTGTCCATCCTTTGTTCTAGTTCAATGTGAAAATAACTCTTCCTACTGGTTTGTTCCGTCTATTGTTTTCACTGTGGTTTCCAACTGAACCAGAGCACTGCCTTGGCCATAGGATCTCCAAGAAAAAGGAAATAAAACATATTTGTCACGTCAACAGCCAGAAAACTAACATGGATCTTGTCAAAATATTACGATGACTGTTTTCCCGCAATATCCCATTTGGCCATCTAGAATTTCCCGGGTTTTCATCATACGGCCACACAGTCTTAAAAAACGTTTTGATTGCGTATATGTATAGATGTTCTCTTTCCCTACACAGTGAGCATCGTGTGAACGCGTTGATTAATGGTCTCTTTACAACACAGCTAGTAAAGTGTGAACTCTCCTTCGTGGATTGACAGAACCAGGTGGCAGCGAGCAGTCTAAACGTATAACTATGGTAAAACCGAATTAGTTCTTGAGTGGTAGGAAAACAGAACACGATGCCTTCTTAACTAGAATAAAAACAGGTTCTTGTCTAAAATATGAAGGAACCTTTCGCGCCATAACAAGCTCTCTCTCCTGGGTGTGTGACAGTCTTCGTAGAGAACGTAGTGGGAAGTTGGAGACTTTTAAGGTTTTAAGACTTCCGCCTTTAACCCTTGATGAAACTCTTATGCCGTACTTTTGGGATGTTAAATAGTCTAGCAGGTTTAGATGACACGAAGAGGCTTGCTTCGACAAACATTGGAAGACGACTGAGAACTATGATTATATGGAACTGTGTAGGAGCGGGAGACTTTTTCGTGTCCTCCGGGAGAATCTTGGAGGAGATGACCGGCATTTGTAGTTAAGAGTTGAGTTGTCTTCTTCTTTGGCCAAAAAATCCAAGGAAAAAAAATTCCCCCATGAGCGAACAGGAGCATGGATAAAAGCAGTATCGTACTTGATATAAAGCAAACTAACGCAACTACGAAACAAAGAGGTCCCTCTTGCCGCTTAAAGGTGAACTGCGAAATTTCTTCACTTACTTGGGTTCTCATCGTGCTAAATGATCGTAACGGTTTATGGATAAGGATTCATTCGCTACGTTTTTATTGCTTCCTTAGAATCGGCACGTACGTGACAAAAGTGTGACACGTTCATAAGAAAGCCAGTTGTTGAAGTCGAGATACGAGACGGGGGAGGATTAGGCCCCTCCTCTCTTCATCTGCGCCATTCTCGTCATTCTCTTTAAAGAAGGAAAAGAGTTATTTAATTTCAATCGATGTTGCAAAGCTCCGATAAAATATTGCATTAATAATATCGTCATCCGTTTCTTTTTGACCTCGGAACTTCTGAGAATACGGCTTTTAAAAACTGAAGTCGATGACAGCTGCGTAAAAGTTTGATAGAAAGTACTGCCGCTTTTTTTCTGAGAACGGCTGGACCTAGCTTCACTTGGCTTGGATGACTACTAAAAATGGCAGTCCCTTCTCCAGATTTTTTTAAAGTTTTTTTTTCGCATTTTAAGCAAAGGCTCGTTTGCAATCACGTGCTTTTGTCCAAATGATTTCAGCCATTCTAGGGTTAATGCGACAAAGCGATTCAAGACGTTTCAAAGAAATAGCATTGCCTTTAGTCAGGTGCACTGTACGAGAAACGTCTAGGAAATCGCGTATAATAACGTTCCATTATTTCCCGGCCACATAATTCTAGAAGTTAACAGAACTGTGTGAACGTGAAGTTAATATAGTTTCAGCCGGATATTAAGAAAGTGTGCTTACGAGTTTGGCGGCGCTGGGGATTTCATCTGGAATATTTTCAGCATTACAGGAAGAAGAGAACAGTTCTACAGCGAAATTTTGAAGAAGAATGAGTACTGCAGAACTTTTTCAGTGTAGTAATCCAAATTTTTTACTGAAAGAATTTTTTAATGTCATGTTGCTAGACAAAACAGTGTTAAAAAACCTGACTTTAATGGGATAAGGGACCAAAACATCAGCTTAGTCGTGGTTGTATTTAAAGTGTTTTTTTGCTAAATTTATGTTTCCGGTGTCCATCCTTTGTTCTATTTCAACGTCAAAATAACTCTTTCGAGTGGTTTGTACCGTCTATTGCTTTCACTGTGGTTTCCAACTGAACCAGAGCACTGCCTTGGTCATAGGATCTCCAAGAAAAAGGAAATAAAACATATTTGTCACGTCCACAGCCAGAAAACTAACATGAATCTTGTCAAAATATTACGATGACTGTTTTCCATCAATATCCCATTTGGCCATCTACATTTTACCGGGTTTTCATCATACGGTCACACAGTCTTAAAAAACCTTTTGATTGCGTATATGTATAGATGTTCTCTTTCCCTACACAGTGAGCATCGTGTGAACGCGTTGATTGATGGTCTCTTTCCAACACAGCGAGTACAGTGTAAACTCTCCTTCGTGGATTGACAGAACCAGGTGGCAGCGAGCAGTCTTAACGTATAACTATGGTAAAGCCGAATTAGTTCTTGAAAAATATGAAGGAACCTTTCGCGCCATAACAAGCTCTCTCTCCTGGGTGTGTGACAGTTCGTAGAGAACGTAGTGGGAAGTTGGAGACTTTTAAGGTTTTAAGACTTCCGCCTTTAACCCTTGATGAAACTCTTATGCCGTGCTTTTGGGATGTTAAATAGTCTAGCAGGCTTGGATGACACGAAGAGGCTTGCTTCGACAAACATTGGAAGACGACTGAGAACTATGATTATATGGAACTGTGTAGGAGCGGGAGACTTTTTCGTGTCCTCCGGGAGAATCTTGGCGGAGATGACCGGCATTTGTAGTTAAGAGTTGAGTTGTCTTCTTCTTTGGCCAAAAAATCCAAAGAAAAAAAAACTCTCCCATGAGCGAACAGGAGCATGGATAAAAGCAGTATCGTACTTGATATAAAGCAAACTAACGCAACTACGAAACAAAGAGGTCCCTCTTGCCGCTTAAAGGTGAACTGCGAAATTTCTTCTTCACTAACTTCGGTTCTCATCGTGCTAAATGATCGTAACGGTTTATGGATAAGGATTCATTCGCTACGTTTTTATTGCTTCCTTAGAATCGGCACGTACGTGACAACAGTGTGACACGTTCATAAGAAAGCCAGTTGTTGAAGTCGAGATACGAGACGGGGGAGGATTAGGCCCGTCCTCTCTTCATCTGCGCCATTCTTGTCATTCTCTTTGAAGAAGGAAAAGAGTTATTTGATTTCAATCGATGCTGCAAAGCTCCGATAAAATATTGCATTAATAATATCGTCATCCGTTTCCTTTTGACCTCAGAACTTCTGAGAATACGGCTTTTAAAAACTGAAGTCGATGACAGTTGCGTAAAAGTTTGATAGAAAGTACTGCCGCTTTTTCTTGAAAACGGCTTGACCTAGCTTCACTTTGCTTGGATGACTACTAAAAATGGCGGTCCCTTCTCCAGATTTTGTGAAGTTTTTTTTTCGCATTTTAAGCAAAGGCTCGTTTGCAATCACGTGCATTTGTCCAAATGATTTCAGCCATTCTAGGGTTAATGCGACAAAGCGATTCAAGACGTTTCAAAGAAATAGCATTGCCTTAAGTCAGGTGCACTGTACGAGAAACGTCTAGGAAATCGCGTATAATAACGTTCCATTATTTCCCGGCCACATAATTCTAGAAGTTAACAGAACTGTGTGAACGTGAAGTTAATATAGTTTCAGCCGGATATTTTCGGAACCTTTCGCAAATTATTGACCATTATTAGCCTGTGAGAGCAGACGCCCAGTGTCCACGCCTTTTCCGCCGGCTTAGCACTATGAAAAAAAAATCGTTCTCTGGTCACCTTGACTTCATGATCAGCTCAGTGAACAGCTAAAAAGGCAAAACATTTGTCGCTTAAAATAAAGATTTTTAAACCGTCCGAAGTCAGTTTTGAGCTTACTTGGACAGCGTAGGTTATCGTTCATTTTAATTGATGTTGCTCAAGGTATTTTCGCTAATTGAGGGTTCTTAACTATAAATTAACAAGGAAATCAAGGCCAGCAACGCTCCAAATATGATTTTCTAGCATTACAGAAAAAAAAAGAAAAAAGTTTGGGCCGAAGTTGTTCAAGTCTTCTCATTCAAATGGAATTCATTTTTGTGTTCTGTTGAAGTATAAACAGTTATTGCATCATATTCCCTTGTACTACTATGATTGCATGAATTAGCCCGGATGTATTTAATTTATAATGACGTCACGCTATTACGCTATTACGTCAAAGTGCAGTAATCATGCGATATTGGGCTTCATGGGTAGCGTTGCTAACGTTACATTTGTCGGCAAATCGTAGAATAAAAACAGAGTAAACAAATGAGAAAGCTCAAAGAACAAAACTGAAAACTGCACCACTTTGCTGTTTGTATTTACTGCACGGCACGGCTGTAACGTAGCATGATATTCGCGACCTCGCTCAGTTGAAGCCTAACAAAACAGCCGATGTTACGAGCGAGAGGCGCCTATATTGCGAGCACAACTGGCGCCGCGAAACGGCTGTTATGGCGGGCAAGACTATGGCCTCCTCAGCTTTGCGCTGCAATATTTGGCGACCTGTTCATGGGTAATTTTAATGATTATACCTGCATCCTGTTAAGGGTGAAAACGGCTTGCAAAAAGGAAGTTGTCGGTTCTATTGTCTGCGGCATGGCCCACTTTTCCGCAGCAAAAATAGATCTATCTTTACGAGCACTCATATGTTATTAAACAAACTGTATGCAATATGCAGCCCAATTAACCATACGAAACTCGTTAAAAATATATAATTCATAAAGAAATGGTGACTTTAGACTGGAAGTCGACAGGCCGAGTTGCTTTTATTCGACCTCCAGTGCGGGCCGGTCTTCAGACCTCCAGGTGCGAGTGGAACTGAAGGTATTAGGGTTAGGATTTAATTTACGTTTTTTTTTTACACCTACATGCACACTTAAAAATTTTAATAACCCTGCGCCTCCAGAATACGTTAAGATCCGCATTCTATCACTTTTGCCGCCAAATCGCCAGCATTTTCGTCTTCATTTACAGAGCTTAACTACTAGTCACCCGCGCAAAGAGACGTAGACTGGTCAAGACGGCTAGCGCTTGTCAAACATTTCACCTAATAGCTGCCTCATGAGCGCCACGAGCGCGAGAGGTTCGCGTTCTTCGTACGCGAGACTAAACCCACGCTTCGCACAGAAAAATAAGTTAAACCGCCTGTGTTGCAACCTAAGGAGCATTGCATTATGCCCAAATGTAGGCTATGTAGGAAATTACGTTTGATCCGGCCGAAATTCAAAGGAAAAATTTTTTTAACAGCTATTAGCAGTTAGGAGAAGTCGGTAATCCCCAAGCACTACCAAAGATACAACAGAAAAGCTTCCCACGCAGCCGAATTTGGAATTACCCCAGCCCCTAACCCTACCCCGCCCCACTCCACCCTTGTTAATTGTCAACAAGCAATTGGCGCAAAGCCATTCGTCATTGAACGATGCAAAACAACCTGAAGGAAAAAATGGAACTATTCAGGAGAACTGGCACTTTTTTCGTCTTGAATAATGGACGCAAAAGCTATTTTAATAATTTCTCAAGACAAGCCTTTTTTGTCACGAGTTTCCCTTGAGCTGAAACCTCTTGAAATCTTTCCAGAGACGTGAGAGAATAGTTCATTTCGGGAAAGTCTTTCCGTCCGTTGAGCGCAGAATATGCACAAGGTCAAACAGAGTAAATATTTGTTAACACATAGTTTGAAAACAAAGAGCCATAAAGACAAAAACTTTAAATTCATGGTTATTTTGTCAAACAAACAAAAAAAAACCTAACATGTTTTTTGAATTTTTTGGTTTATTAATTGCGAAAACGAATGATATCAGAAGAAGCATTCATTCATTGGACGATAAGTGAGATAAAATTAAAGTATTGCGTGCCGCTTCGGAACAGATGGAACGTGAGGTCACGCATGGGTTAAGTCCTACGTCACTCAAAAACAAAGACATTGCAGACATATCCGGAAAACAGAGCGTTTGATTCCTACTATCACGTCACGTATAACTGAGCACAGAATAACTTATTCCAGAAGAAACGCAGCGTCACTATTGCAATTAACACTGCTCTGGATTCTGGAGTTTTGACGATGACGGAGGAGGAGAGTAGAGTTTTGCGAGTCGTGCGATCGAAGACATGCAAGAAATGGCTACATATATCTGCCATAGTTTTTGGGTTTCTTAGCATTGGCGGTTGTTTTGTACTGGCAAGCCTTACATATATTCTTTTTGGGGATTGCGAGGATTGTACTCCAAAACCAAACGATAAAGAAATGGTGAAAATCATGCGGATACTAGCGACTGTTTTATTCCTTTTCGGAATTCTACTTATCGCTTTGTCACTGTGTTGTAAAGGTACAACGAACAGTTTAGCACCTCAAGTCGTCGTGTCGGATATTCCACCAGGGGATTTAGAAAAATCACCCGCTCCTATCCTCGCTCAGACTCATACTCCACACAGGCAAGCTTTTGTAGAGGAAGCAGCAACAAATCCGCCAGATTTTGTGGCAGCGCTGACAATTAATACCAATGAAATAGTTCCTAGAGGGAGTAGTAATTCGTCAGTGAATGAGGGATTTTGGACAGAAGAAATTGAAGAACTTGATGGTCCTGTAACTCCTCCACCAAGCTACGAGGAAGCTTTGGTGATGAGATGGCCGAATGTTGTAGTACAAGAACATGGGTCACAATCAGAAGACTCGATACATTCTGAGGACACAGGATTATGAGAACTCAAAGATCAAATTATGAAAAGAACAAAAAAACACAAAGGATTAAAAATCAACATAACAGTCGTTATTTCTTTACAATTCACGCAATGAATTATTTATCTTTCTTTCGTAAAATTTTCTACGCACTTTTGTACATAAATGTATATTTACAAAGACACACTGATTTTGTACAAATGTTTGGGGTATTCTACTGGGTCGTTTATTTTTTTAGTAATTTTGACAGATGATGCGTGCTGTTTAAACACGAGTTGAAATGTGTCATATTTTGTTATTCTATGAATGGTAAATATCACGTTCATTGTTTTTGGAAGTGAACATATAGATTTAAAAGAATCATTATTTTGTAAATAAAGGGAATTTCAAATATAAATTTCCCTGTAAATGCTTTAGATTGTATAAAGTACCCATTTGAAGCATATCCTTGAGGGGTACATGAACAACTTAAAAAAATGCTTTGCATTAATATAAATAATATCCCCCCAGAGATGGCAAAGTCACACAATAATATTCATTACACATCATGACGATGGCCATGAAACTACTTGAACCCTGACTTTCACCAACAACAAAGTTCTCTACGCTTTCTCATTACCTATTCTGAGTTTTCAGAGCATGCCAGGCTCTTGAATGTAACATAAAAAGATTATTGGAATAAGAAGAGGCTACTATACAATCAAAATATCAGATTGCTTTTGTATTTGGGGCCAATATTTAAAGTAAATTCAGTGCAATGCCTAGCAGATCACCCAACCATCCTGATCTTGTTGGAATTGCCCCAATTTTGCTTGAAAATCCTGAGGCCCGGCCAATATGTGATTGGGATAGGAAGAATCCCAATTTAAAAACTTGTTCTGATTTTTTTATACAATGCTTAAACATTAACACCAAATAGCGAAGGATATACTAAAATGAAACTGATCTCTAGAAAATTAAAGAAACCGCAAGAAACTTAAAATGAAATTTGTATGTGAAGGCATGCACAGCTGTGAAAGTGTTTGACTGTGTTGGCCTGAGAGAGGCTGACATTTTGCAATGCCACTGGATCTGGGTAGTGCTCCCGATTGGTTGAAAATTTGATTCATCCAATCAGAAGCACTTTCCAGATCTGGGTAGTGAACATCATCAGGATGGAATTTTGGCACTCGCTTCTCTGATCTCATTTCACGAGGAAACCATTGGTGACGTCATGAATTGTTGGCTATTTTCTCAGGCTATGACTGTCTGCTATCTTGTTGGTCAATCATTATTGAAAACAAGAGTAAAATCACAATCTATTTACTGAACATGTTTCACAGAAATTGTCTTTTGAGAACAATAAAAATAGCTTTTCATTTCAAACTTTTGGGGGTAAGACTGCCCCATAGTCCCCCTTGCAGTTAGCACCTTTGACACTCACATTTTTTGTCTATTGTTAAAAAAATATCTCAAGTTTTCATGCTCAAAAGAATGGATAGTTTGGCCCAGACCAGCACCCCCAAGACAAGATCTCTGGGAAAATTCTCCACTTCTAACCTTCAACAGTTGACTTTTTATTGGGTTTTTTCAAAGGAGCAAATTATTTCTATGGCATATTATTAACCATGCATCATGACCAAAATTATTATTTACCCTTCAAAGTGGTATTTTACTGGAGCTTTTGATCCAACTTGTTAGATCAAAAAATTAATTTTTCACTCACATAAGGTAAATCTTGTTTTGAGTACATGTTAAAGCATGAAACTTAAATGTTCCTATAAAAAATTCACAACCATTTTCTTACATGCATACAACTGTAGCTTGTCAGAGAACGTTACAATAATGCGGTCTGTAGGTGCAAAGAAGCAAAACTTTTTTCAATTTTGATTCATTCTTTAAGACAGATCTTAATTATCTTAAGTTTATATCACTATTAAATTGAGCTCATAAGAAGCAAAACAATCCTTTTTTCACCTAAAGATTTCACAAGGTTCCTTACCAGCACCCTTTGTCACCATTGTGATTTCTGTATCCCAGCTATGAGACCTTTATCAGCATAATAGCGAAACATTATTCTTGAAATGCGATATTTACCGACAATTCCTCGGCCTCTGTCAGTCAGAACACACCTATTCCGCACACGTGTTATTGAGCTGTCCAAAGGGAGTTTGTCCATATCCTTGGCAGCTTTTTCCCGGACAGCAGATGGAAGAATATCATTTTTCTTTAAAACCCTCAAGTTGGAACGTTCCATTTCATGTTGTTCAAAAAGTGCTCTTCGCTTCATGTCCCTTCTGGCCCATTTCTTCAAGTAATTTGGTAGCAGGTAATACTTTTCCAAAGCTGGTGAGGTTTGTAATGATCTGCAGCAATGACCTTTACAAAGAAAAGGTTAATGTTAACTATTTCAACATAAAAAATTTAGGAATGAATAAAAACAACTCTTGTATCCATGTATCTAAATGACAAATGACTAAATAGTTTATTATCCTCTCCCATATGGGCTTTTCAGGGATGATGGGATCTAATAAGGCAAAGAATCAGAAAAAAAACCCAACTGGAAGGACTGGAGGTGAACCAGTTGGTATTTTACAAGTGTGACTGAGGATTCAAACTCACAATAACTGAGAACAAATCCAGATTGTGGTCAGGGTCAGAATTAGATGTAAATTCAAGGCCCCTGGATCAAAAGTCCAATGCTCCCTAATCCCACGGCCATGCATCTCTGCCTCTTTTAGTACTTTGTACTTAAAGCTGTTTTAAGATCTCCAGTTGGAGAGATGAGAGTGAAGGACTGGTCAATAGTCAGCGCAAAGTCAGTACCCTCTCACTCTGTCAATGATTTGAAAGCGTCTGTAGTCTCAGTCAGGATCTTGAGGCTACGGCTGAGATAACACACTGGGATTCATCCCAGATACAACGATTGAACCTACAGTAAAAAGAGGTATTTGGGATTTATAGGGTGGGAGCCAGTCTGCAAAGTATGGCAGGTGCACGCACAAGTTTTTTAACAATAAATACATAAGTAATAAGGGCCTAAAAATGGCCTTGTACGAGCAAGATCTCGCCGAGTTCTGCCATACTCTGCAGACGGGGGACGGGGGTGGGAGTGAACATAAAATAAGAAAAGGTGAAGGGGTAAAAGTAAATTAGCTTCAAAACCTCTCAGTTATGTAAGCTGAAAATAAACACCATTCCTACAAATTGTAGTGAAAAGTATTTATGCAAGACTGGGTAACTAAAATTTAAACAACCTTGTGTGATATATAAAAATCTTACTTTTAAGAAGCGCCGATGAAAATAATCCATCACACCTTTGCATGTGCTCAGTCAGACGCCTGAACAGCAGCGCCATATTTGTTTCCTCTAACCTCGCTTTGGTAAAGGGATAAAATCAAATCGAGGCTGTAAAGTCGTTTCTAGTTTTGGAGTCAGCGGTGTTTTTCTCGGAAGAAGGAAACAGCAGTTTTTCCAAAACCAGGGGCCAAAACAAAGGCCTTATTAGAGTTCTTGTTATTTTCCCTTTCTAGTTTGATGTGGAGTCTAGTGACGTCGTTCGCTAGCAATAATATATCGAGACAGGCAAGGTGATACTTAACTATCAGCAGGAGTGGAAAAGCATGGATAGTTTTAGTGGACAGGCGAAGGGCACCAATGGATGACTTCACGCTCATTAACTGATATATTTCGGGTTCTCCTGGCCGGCCCGCCACATGTTTCAAAGGAACTACCACGGACTGTGGATACCCTAAACGTTTCTCTTCATTTTTTGTTTTGTTTTTTAACGCGGCGAACTCGAAGTCGCCGGTTTTGCCAATGGGGAGCTCAACGTCGAAATTTCGTAAAGCGCTACAGCGCGGAGAAGGAGTTGAGGCCATGAACATTTATCTGAAAAACCCAGACATAAAACGTAATCTAGACCCCAACCACAGTTTTGGCGTGAATCACGGCCATAATACAGCACTACATTACGCTGCTTTGCACGGTATGAAAGCTTTTGTGCGAGAATTCCTAGAGGAGCGCGCAAACCCGAACATTCGAAATGCTTTGGGCCAAAATTCTCTACACTGTATTTGTTCCGTGACGCACATGTACCAGGTGAACGAGTCATCTCTTGACAAGACCAGGGCTGAGTGTTTGTCTAATCTTTTAGCTTGGAATTCAAGCAACCAAGAGGAAATAGCCGCCGAGATAGATGTAAAAGATGAGGTATAAAATTAGTGGATAAAGTTATAGTAAGTCCATGTGATTGAAAGAACTTCCGCTTGTTGTGGCTTAGAGAGTTTCACTCTGATATCTTCGAGACGCTTATATTATTCATTTAATACTCCATTGTCTTCGTCAAAGCAAACAAGTTTTGGTATTTATTCATCAGTTGTAATTTACTCATGGATCCCAGTGAAAATGTGTCAAAAATATATATATATATATATATATATAGAAATACTTTTACATTTGAAAAAGTAGAGTATAATATTAAAATGCATGTAGCGTAAAGAAATTGGAACTAAAATGTCGAAAAAAAAGTTTTTGATTTTTCCTTTTTTGATATTTGGTATCCATTTTCTAACACAACTGTTTCACACATTATAGTTTGTGTCAGTTTTTCAGTAAAATTCATGTATGCTGTATAAAGTCTGGGAGATGACGAGATTACATAATTGAGGTAGAAAACATGACAGCAATTTTATTGAGTCTATCAAATCTAAAAAAGCAGGTGCAGCTTCTTAGCAAACATAAATGGAGTTACTTTGAACTTTTTTGTATTCAGACAGTCAAGTTTGTTTTCATCAGAAAAATATGTATGATGTCATCTAAACAAATTCTTACATCAGATGAAGTTGAAATTCAGTGAGAGAAAAAGATATAGTCTGTTGCAAAATATAGTCAGTCATAATTCCCCACAATTGTTGCAGGCCTGCAAATACCATTTTCCTCTTTAGGAGGAATATATAGACAACAAACCAGAAATGTTGTCAGACATACACTAAATATATGTTAACTTTTAAGTTCTTTAATTACTATGCAAATCTTAAGCTACAAAATATTAGTCTTTGGTATTTGATCTTTGTGGTCATCATGTCTGATTGCAAGAAGGATTTTATCAGACATGGAGAAATGTTATTAAAACATTGATCAGAACAGAAGTTTTTAAGTAATTTGTGTGTTGGATGGAACAAATTATTAATCAGTATGCGACAAGCCTGTTTGTTTAAAAAATTAGGAATAGAACTAAGAAACCACGGCAGGATTAGCTCAGTTGGTAGAGCGCTTGACTGCAGAGCGGGAGGTTGCGGGTTCGATTCCCGGGGCCGGACCAATACTCAGGGTCTTAAAATAACTGAGAAATGATAGTATTCCCTTTGCCCCGCAGGCGGCTGAACCTTCACATGGCTCGGATGACCACGTAAAATATAGTGTCCCCAATAAGCACTTTCGTGCATACATTGACACTCAATAATAAAGTGCTTTTTTTATCACATGAAGCTCGATTCTAATTTATTGTTGGCAATTGAAAATATGTGACAAAGAAAAAGAACTTAAAACAGCCAAGTCCTCTTTTACAGTATTAAACTAGGCAGTCAGTAGTGAATACAGTATTAGTTAAGAGCCAAGCAACCTCAGGGTCCAAACAAAATGGTGTAAATTTAGAAATGTAGATTCACTCAAGGTTTATGTAGAAAGTGTTCTATAACCAAGAGGGCCAACTCAATAGCCAATGATTGTTTTTATTAGCAGTACTACGACTTGTATGATGTCTCAATGAAAGTGGTCAATATTCAATATGGTAACATTCTAATGACTATAATATGTGTACTTTTTTCAGGCTGGTAACACACCCTTGCATTATGCTGCTAGATCAGGTCTTTTTCACTGTGTTCAGGTAAGCATGCTCTCGCTAGGGAACATTGCTGTGAGAACTTTAGAACTCACCAGTTGATTGGGGGATCTTTGCCAAAACTGGGAGTCACTTAAGGGAGACTGGGAGACTAAGCAGCTCTGCAGCATTTTTACCTGAAATATTATTTTTATTTTTAAGATCTTGGTTGCCTCTGGTGCCTCCTTGTATGAAGAAAATAAAAATGGAGAGACTGCTTGTGACTGTGCAATAAAAGGGAACTTTAATGATATTGCATCTTTCCTGGAGTCGAGAATGGTTTTCTCTGTAAGTATAGATCATGTTTCTAAGTTAAAGAAATCTTCAACTGATGCCACATGTACATGTATCAGATGAAACTGGGAAGGAATAATTTAATACTTACAGAAAAATGAAAAAGCTGCTTTAACCCATGATTCAAATTCTAAATCAATTTAGGGTTGAATACTGGTTTAATCTGAGGAACGATTTTTCCCTTTTGTAAACAATGACAACCAAAAGTCATGTTGCAAGTATAGGTAGTGTAATTAATTACTTAGTTATTATTACTCTTATCATTATTATTTTTTCACTTTCTTTCAAACTATGTTCCAAGGAGAGTCCAAGTGCCATTGCTGTTGAGGAACCTATATTTATTAACACAGATGACCAGGTATAATTAATTGTAGGTGACTTGTTGAGGTGGCAGGATACAGATTTGCTACTGGTTTAAAAAGGAAATAATTATTTTATCATCACCATTATATTTTAGAAACAGTATCGAGGCCTGTGTGCTCAAGATCTACAAGAAGCTAAGGACTTGATGCTTGTGGAGACTGCCGATATGCTCAGGGTAGGAATTGCAGTTCAATAAGAAGTGTCTTTGTGAAGTTCAGTTCTATCTACATGTAGTTGAAATAAATTGTTAGCAATAAAACAATGCTCTCAAGATCTCAAAGGACTCGTTTGAAAGTGTTTGTTTTGTCATCTTGGACCAAAGAAGAAAAATCAACAACATACTCAATTACAACCCACAGACAGTGTCGATCTCCACACTACCCCTCCCCCCCACCCCCCAACCCCTGATTTGAACACAGGCCACAGTAATGGAAGACAAGTGCTCTCACAACCATGCCCTTTGAAACAGAGAATTATTTAACTAAATATGAAGTCGTGTTGCTCTTGTTTAGGTGCCATTATTCACTGCAGAGGGTCTGCTGCGGAACCATGGTTAGTAAATTTTCATCGGCATAATTATAACCATTACCTGTTAACAATACCCAACAAATATTCAGGAAAATTCAGATTCAGTAGGAATTGCTTTTCTAAAGATTTTTATTGTGGTGTTAATTTTTTTATTGGCACTGTGCCTTAATAATCTTTTGAAAGTCTGTCATGTCTTAACTTTAATCCAGCCACAGGCTCAGTTTCATAACCATGGACAAAAGAAGTCTGTAAAATGTTTTTTCCTTTAAACTGTGGCAGGGTAATGGTGAGTTTTTCATTTTGTATATGTAGACTGGTCCAAGGAGGCTCTGATTGAAGCATGGATGACTGATCCTGTTGCTGCTTGTGAAAAAGCTGGCGTTACTCTTCCAGAGAGTAAGAAAGTGTTATAATTCTGTAATGTAAAGTTGGTATAATCTACTGTAGTTTTTGTTTGCCGTTGAAAAATCAGTATTTATGATATGTTATGCTGATATTTCAATTCTGTGTCATAAATATTGTGACGTGTGTCATCAACTCCTGACTCCTAGTGACCAGCCAAAGAGCTTGTTAAAATGGCTATAAAGACAATAAGTGATTGACTTTAATTTTTGTGGGCATGCACAGCTCCAGTGATCATGAGTACCTTTGAAGCCAACAGGATTGCAACCGCAGGGCAAAGGAGGCTTTCTTAACTGTAGTAAAACATTTTTGTGGAAGAAACTGCCTTGTTAGCCAACCATGTGCCCATCAGGAGTTTCCATTCTTAACATAACCACTTACATGTAGCAGAGAGGTTGAAATATTCAATTCTTTTGCCTTTTCCCTTTTATGTAAACCAGATCATCAGACAGGCAATGCTGAACTTGAAGAGAAAGCAAAACTTGCCAGAAAAAGTAACTTTAGAAGTTCTGTGAGTATTCATGAATTCATAAGAAATGTGATCATCCAACATTGTGACTTGTTTCCATGGACATAGTTCAAGGTCTTGATTTTGTTTTCTTTTAGATAACTTTTTTCTTTACTAATGTGTTGTATGTTTGCTTTTCATAGGAGGTTTGTTCTATCTGTGTGGAAGAAATAGTCTATGAAGATGTTCCACTATCTCTTTCTTGTGGTCATGAATTCTGCCGCTCCTGTTGGGAGAGGTCTGTACATGTATTTAAAGTCTATAATATTTTTGTTTTTCTGTCTATAAATGTTGTTTTCTGCCGGGTGAGAAATGAAAGAAGCAGAAAATGTTTTTCTCACACACATCTGGGAGTCTGGGTACTAGTGTGTTGGGGGTCTTGACTTGTCATATGATTGGTTGTAATTAATGTACCATTGCCTGACCTCTCACCCACCCACCCACCCACTCTTGAAGCTGAGTAGTTTTAAGTGATTGCCTCTGAAGGTCATTTACTATCTCTTTCATAGCTACTAGTTTCTCTAAGGATATATTAATTTAGTTAAACATTATGTTCTTCATGGCAGATACTTAAATGAGAAGATTAAAGATGGAAAAGCACATGGTATTCAGTGTCCTGCATTTGATTGTAGTGCTTTAGTGCCTGTGGTGAGTAGCTATTAATAATCTAAACAAACTTACAGTAGAAAGAGAGTTTGTAATCTGCACCTGCATTGGTAGTCATGTTGACTGTTGGGGCGCCATGGACCTAGTAACTCTTTCCCACCAATTGATTTTGTTTCAGATTTTCTATGGGCATCACAAAACTTCAACCTGTCCACTCAAACATGTTATTCTCCCAACGCTGTTTTTGACAGCCTCTTCTTCTCCCTCCTTGCACTGTTCCTTGTAAGATTGCCTTTTGCCTTGGCAAGACCTGCTGATCTTGATACAAGCCCAAACCACTTTCACTTGCGTTTCTTTACCATGGTTAAAAGATGTTGTCATAGGGCCCAATGGCCTGCCTGATTCTGTCTCTGACGGCATTGTCAGTCATGTGGTCTCTGTTTGAGATGCCAAGCAGTTTCCTAAAGTATCTCATCTCAGTGGCCTACAATTTCTTTAGGATGTCCACTGTCAATGTTCGGGTTTCGCAGGTATACAACTGTACTGAGAGAACCAGGGAGAGCATAAGTCTGATCTTTGAGCTTAGAGAGATATGCTTATCGTTCCAGATGGTCTTCAGTCTCGCTAGTGCTGCTGTTGTCTGTGCAATTCTGGACAGTACTTCAGGCGGCTTAGAAACTTGATCTGTGATGACTGCGTCCAGATAGCTTTACTTTAAGCTGTCAACCTTGTCCAGTTTTTCACCATTGATCTTGATCTCCATGCTGATGCCATTTGTGTTATTGGTCATCAGTTTGGTCTTAAACCACTTATAGATATATTCTATCGATAAAATAGTAACGTTTTTTCTATTGTCACTGATCCTTTTGTTGTTGTTTTTTAACTCCAGGAAACTATTGAAAGCCTTGTCTCAAGAGAAATGGCAAAGAGATACCTTCATTTTGATATAAAGGTCTGTATTTAACAATATTGTATATTTAAAGTCCTGCACATACCTAAAAATATCATTTTGAGAGTTGCCTAAGTCATCGTTTTCTCGTTGTCATGTTTGACTTTTAGTAGATGGAGTGACTTAAATTGAATTTTAACCTTTTAAGCAAGCCTTTAAGAGCCATTTCCAGTTTGTTCACAGATGCTTATAACTCATATGAATGACACAATATATATTATTTCATAAATGACGAGTTTTAACATACATTTGGCAGGAATTTGTTGAGAGTAATCCCAGTTTGAAATGGTGTCCATTTCCTCGGTGTGGCCGAGCTGTGCGTCTCCCACTTAGCATGCTACCCTCATCACCTGTTGCTCGGGAAGTGAGCTCATCAGAAGAAACAGAACCCATGATTGTAGACTGTGGTCAAGGTCATTTTTTCTGCTGGTAAGTTAGTAAGCATAGGATACTCACCAATATATGCAAAGATCAAAGTGAAAGAAGGGGCCTATGCTAATGGAGTGTGTTTGGTATGGATACTTTACAAATTACTTAGAGTCAGTGGAAGAACTCAGAAAAGGGTTAGTGCCTAATCGCAGTGAATGGGATATAAATCTTTCACAGGAGAAGTCACAGAGATTAGCACAGGCTACCCACTTTCTACTAAGAGTACGTTTCCCATTAAGCATACACTATTTTGATCTGGGTTTTGTCAGTTTAGAGAAATGCATGATGTTTTCAATCTTATTTCATATCCCTTGTGAACAAAGTCATTTAATGATAAAGTGGGAAGCCCAGAAAGGATCTTTTCACATTCTATACTGCAAGAAATAAAAGTTGGAAACTGAGAGTGGTTTATACTCAAATGGGTGAAGATCATTAAGATTGTCTTTAAAAGTATATTTTGTAGAAATGGAGCAATTTGTTTGAAACTGTTTTCCTGAACCTCAGGCACTGTGCACAGGAAGCCCATGCTCCTTGTAGCTGTGAACTGTGGCGTAAATGGCTGAAGAAAATTGCAGAGATGATGCCAAAGATACCAACCACAAAAGGTCAACTAAATTCTTACTGCTACAGTCAGTGTCTGGCCCTATAAGTATCTGTCTTGGAGAGGTGTCTACCTTGTGACAAATATCCAAGAAAATGACCCAAGAATGGCAGGATTACCAACTTAAGGTTGCCATTCTCGGGAAGCGGTTCTGAAAGAGCTGAATGCATTATAGCACATGTTTTGCAGTCATTTAGAACTGCTTTAAGCCTTGTTTGCATGAAGGGAGAGTGAAGGTCCATTGAGGAGTTTCCCCTTCTCTATTTGTGTCCCAGCTTCTTTGCACAAGAGGTGTGGCTACCCTAGGCTAGGCAGAGGGTTACCCTATCTGCTCTCGATCACATTGTAACTCTACTAGGAAGGTTAATTTCTTTGTGGCCTTGTAAAATGGTCCAGCTATGGTTACACTCCTAAAGGGAGTCAAGTGAAAGTTCAAGTCAAAATACCATATATGCAAGTTTCAGTGGCAAGATAGCTCTTCCCTTAGTTAACCTTGTTTATGTTAAGAGGATTATCCACCTTCCTTTTCCAACAGGGCTTAAGACTTTGCTGACAACTGCATTTCTTCTCTGATTTCCGTTTTAGATGTTTCCGAGTGTCCTGAAACAGAAGTTGTTGCAAACACCTTATGGCTAGTAACAAACTCTAAATGCTGCCCTAACTGCAAGTGAGTCAGCTAGATTTTTTGTTGCACAGGCTTACTCACAGGCCATGTTGTGAAATCAAGAAATATTGCACCTCCCCACACCTGCATAATTTTGCTTGTTAGCGTGTATAATTATTGGTAAAAGCTTTATTTTAATACCGAAGCAAAAGCACACAGATTACTAACTATATATGTACTAGAAGGGCTGGAAGATTTGTTTTGTTAGTACACATTGTACTTACAGGGAATTGCAAACTACAGTATGCTTTATGGTGCCAAGTTAAGCAATAATTGTTGCCTTCTAGATCGCCCATTCAGAAGAATGAAGGATGTAATCATATGAAATGCACAAAAGTATGTATGTTTTAACTGGATTACAATAATTATTTTTTCTGGCCATTAATATGTTAGCATCTCGCTCTTTCCCTTCAGAATATCTTCTGGTTTCTTCCTTGATAACTTTGCTTGTTTTTATTTTTTTGCTTGGTTTGTTTTAGTGTAAACATGAGTTCTGCTGGGTTTGCCTTGAACAGTGGAAGAAACACAGTTCAGCTACAGGAGGTTATTTTAGGTTTGTACAACAATAAATTCTTCACCAGGTTGACCCAATTAATGTACAGTCCTGACATTATACACTTTTGTACAAAAAAAGAAGTGTGTGTTAACCATGGCAGGTTTAGCTCAGTCAGTAGGGCCCTGACCTGCAGAGGGAGGAGGGGGGGAGGGGGGCTGGTTGTGGGTTTGACCCCACGTATGCATTAACGACAGCAGTTTTAGCTCAGTCAGTTGAGCAATGGACTGCGGAGCAGGATGTTGCTGCTTCAATCCTCAGGGCCAGACCAACACTCGGGGTCTTAAAGAGGCATGAAAGTGTGTGTTAACCACAACAGGTTTGGCTCACTCAGTAGAGCAACAGACTTCAGCGAGGGAGGGGAGGTTTTGGGTTTGATCCTCAAGGCTGGACTAACACTTGGGGTCTTAAAAAAACAAAGAAACAAAGGTACCGCGCCCTTTGCCCAGAAAGCGGCTTAGAGACCTTCTCTAGGCCTGGATGGTGACAGAAATTGCAGTCTCCTCTAAATTCAGCCGTTAAACTAGGTTCATGTGACTGACATCCCGTATACTGCTGAGAAAGGTTTATTTAATATTTTATTCTTTATTTGCAGGTGTAATAGATTTGAAGTAGTGCAAAAAGTAGAAACAGAATCAGCTAAGCTAGTGTCAGAGGTAATGTTCTTTTAAATCCTATTCACCATAGTAGAACAAAAGGTATACAAACCAGGTAACGAAATCCTTACATTGTTTACATGTGCATGTAACTCGTTTTGTGTTTCGTGTTTAAATCAGTTTTGTACCCTCTGAGTTTAGCTTCAGACTATATCCATGTCTCTCTACCCTTCTGAAGAGTACTCGTTTGTCATTTATTTTAACAGGCAAGTGCAAAGAATGCCCAAATAGTAGAGTTGAATTGTTTCCTACATTACTACTCTCGCTTCAAGAATCATGAAAATAGTTACAAGGTAACGGCTTTTACTTAGTTCTTTTTACTTTCTGCATTTGTCAGCCTGGAGCGGAGGGAAATGGCTAAATTGTTCCCTACATTGCTCCTTTTTCATCAAGCTTGACTTTTTTGTGTTTTAGTTTGAAGAGCCTTTATTGGGAACAGCTAAAGATAAAATGACAGCTCTGGCGATGGCTGCCATAGAAACAGGTAAGCCAAAATCGTTAAAGCCTTGCTAAGATGTTAAAGGACTTTCCGTCTTCACTAAGATGACCCAGGGAAAACGAGATATTTAACAGTCCAAACAGATTCAAGCCAGCATTTTGAGATGTTTTGACTTGTAAGTACCCCTAAATTCATGTCTATGTGAAATTTTTGGCTTTTTCGTGATTGGCCATTTTGTTGCACTTCAGCATAGCTGGATGGTGTTGTTTTTAACTGCAGTAATGGGGCTGTTTTGTGGATTGTGTAGTTAACCCATTCGCTCCTGGAGATTTTGCCGAAAAACGCGTTTTGAAGCTAGTCGAGTGGTTTTCTGGTCACTGTCGTGCTATAAAGAGCTAAAACTTACCACAAACCGGTTAACAGGTCGTACACTTGGCGGCCTTCTGATCCAGATGCAAAATATCAGCTTGCGAAGTTCGGGCATGCGCAGAAAGCCAAATTTCGCTTTCTCTCCTCCCTTCTTTTTTCGCTTTTCTTGCCTCATTTTTTTTTTTTCTCTTGCTGGGCATTTAGTAGGCTTCATTTTGGTGGGAAGAGTTTTTAGGAAAGCTTTTAGGATCTTAGGATTAGGTGAAAGGAAAGGTAGGTGGGCAATGGTACAACATTTTCATGGAGATTTTCTGGTCAATGTCACGTTTTTTTTTGCTTCTTTCTCCGGTGTCCTTGACTGAATTGTGCTCATTCTGGTATGGTTTGAAAGATCTCTTGACTCTACACAAGTTAGCGAAGAAAGTTGTCCTTGGCCGTTAAAACTGATGACGTCACAAAGGGTAGAAAGGACCTGGATCCGCACGGGCGGTTACGGGCGGTTCAGGGGCGAATGGGTTAATATGTTATTTCAGTTCATTTTTTTCATTTCAGAAGTTTTTGTTTTTCCTTTGTTTCAAATTCATTAGCATGCACAACCATACCCCCAAACCAAGGAAACACAAAAATTGAGTACAACTGGGACCTTATCGCTCTGTGTTGGCTATTACAAGATTGTGCCAGAAATTCGGTCAAAATTTCTTCCCAAAAATTTCCATAGAACAATTCAGTACTTAACCGACCCAGTCTGAAGCGCCACATCAAAAGTTCCAATAACTTAGTGGTAAATCAAATCACGTTTTTTGCCCATTGCAGTAAAATCAAATTAAAGTACAAATAGGATAAAGTTTCGTTTTGATTAACTGATTGATTGTTGATGGATTTATTGCAGCATCAGCGGATAATGTTGATACGTCTTTCATCGAGGATGCTGTGCATGAATTACTTAATGCAAGAAGAGTTTTACGAGCATCATATCCTTATGGTTATTATCTTACCGGCAATAAAGACAAGAAAGCAATCTTTGAGTCCATGCAGGTTAGCGTTGTTACATGTTTACGTTATGATCAGTCGTGTTGTATTAGCTTTGCTCTCTCATTATTGTGAACAGCTTTAAGTCGTCCCTGAGTCCACCAGCTATTAGGTTTTGTACGACATTGATTTCATTGTTGTTGTTGATTTTTTCATCAACTGCTCGTTATGATGTTAGAGTTACAGAAGAGTTGGCAGAACCTGCCTCCTCCGCAGGCTTACAAAGGCATAGTTGGGGACACGGACTTTTAACCCTTTAAACCCTAACATCAAAATTGAAATTCTCATTTGTGATCCCTATACGTTTTCAATAGAAGTAGTGGGGAGAATTTTTTGAAGTATCAATTAGATTCATCTTGTGTGATCATGTCCTTAATTCTCATGACCACTCTGTTTTACAAAGCATTGATATTACAAGGAGAAATTTGACGCTGATCACTCTTAGGGCTTAAAGGGTTAAAGCGGGCTACTGGAGACGTGCGAGAAGCGTGTGTGGGAGTTGATAGCGCCAGCGGGGAGTGATGGGAAGGAAAACGAGAAAAAAGGACATACAGATCAAATGCACGATTCAAGTAGCCTGCGCATGCGTAGCAAGCGTCTCTGTGCGGTTTAGGACCAAAGAACAAGGAACAAGAGTCAAAGACCGCGCGAAAAATGGCGCAAGTAAAAGAGCGGGGAGGGGGTGGGGAAGAAAGGAAGGTTTACTTCCTTCCCCTCCCCCTCCCCCTCTTTCATTTTTTGGCTCTCGTTTCATTTCTTGCGCGGTCAAAACCGAAAATCCCGTTCCTCGGTTTTTTTTGCTCCGAAACTAAACGGAAAACGCTTGCTACGCAGGCTACGATTCAAGCAGAGTTAATTTTCAATTAGTATAGCATTCTGTGACTCTCCCCAGATAATCCAACATTAACAGTGTCTTAATACATAGAGCAAAATGTTGGGTTTTTAACTTTAAACTATTCCTCTTTTTTTGGCCGTTAGACTGAAGTAGAAGAAGCTACTGAGACTTTGTCTCAGATGGTGGCTCGACCTTATTTGAGAACTCCGCGCGCAAAGATAATTCAAACAGCCCAGCTACTGCATAGAAAGCGACAGGACTTTTTGTTGGCTTTGTCTCGAGGAGTTATTCCTGATGACGATCAGCTTTCAGAACCCACAGGCTTTGTTGATAGGTATGTGATTGTCTTTGGTAGAAAGGGTAGACGGGGGGCAGGGGGTGTTGCAAGACGGGTTTTAATAGCCGCACATAGTGAAAACAAGAAGTTTGATTTAACGCACTGAAAAAAGAAGCGCGTAGAAATCGATCCAGCTGCACATTGGTTTATTCGTTACTATCTGCGATAATTTATTTGAACTTTCTCTTACTTGTGTGTTTTTATTTCAGGCTAAGTCTAATTTCAGATTCAGGTGCTAGTCAAGACAGTGAGGTAACTTTAAAGCCTCTCTTTACTCGCTGTATATATTGATAATATTTCTCATTAGGTTGAGAAATTTACTTCACATCTTATTTGTGACCTTAACATTGATCACAGTCCCTGGCTCAGGGTTATCTTCTACTTGTCCCTCTGAAAAGGAGAGAACCCTGGGAACGAGGTTGCAACTCTAGCTTACTGGTAGACGACTCCTTTATCCCTTTTCCGCGTGCTACCACCACTAGGAATTTCCAACCTGTTTTGTCTCCAGAAGAGTCTCACTTATTCCTGTCACTTCCCAGTAAAGCTAACAGAGGTGACCTGTCCGACTACACTCGTCTTCATAACGAGCGTAACACGGGAGAGTGAGGTGTTACGGATAGCGAGAGAGCGAGAGAAATTGCCGTCGTCTTCCTCTGTTTCCCCCTGCCATTATCTCTTGCTCCCGTGCCACCTCGCACTTATCTTAACCAAAGCAAACTTGGGTTTGAAAATTCGACCAACGGTCCCTATTAAAACACCAGGATAGTTAAAGAATAATTGCATCACTCTTGGCAAAAACATTCAAATATCACAATTCAAATACTTCAACTTATTCTTTTTCAGTCTGATGAAGATGAGAGCAACCTTGATGAAGTGCTTTCCTCAATTGAACAGTCAATTCTCAGTTCACGTTTAGCGAAATTGGGTATAAAACAGAGCGGTGATAGGGCAGAAGGAGAACAAGCCACGCCCCTTGAAGATAGAGTCAACTGCGAAACTATTCACAAAAAATTCAACATGACTTCCTGTTACTTATGTAAACATGGCTACAGCTCCAACAAGAAAGAAGAGAAAAAGAAAAGTAACTTGAAATCTTGTTCTTTGTTTAATATCAAGGAAAAGAGGAAACTTATTTTCCATTCCAGCTTGTATCAAACGCCACGCGCCATTAATAACTTTCGACTCTTGTCTGTGTGTCACTACCCTACTAGCAGAGTCGCTTCGATCTTCCTAGATAAGTCGGGAAAGAGGAAAGAAAGATCGAAGCGACTCTGCTAGCAGGGCAGTGTGTCACTTAAGAGCATTCGGTGATTTACGCGTAGCTTGGTTTGAAATTGCTACTCCCCTAAGCTCCTTCTTCCTCCTCAGGCGCGTGCTTCTTTTTACCCGTTTTTCTTTCAGGGGCGAGCGCGAAACGCTAGTGACTGGTACGGGTAGAAATCCTCTTATTGTGCATTTCTGTTAATTTATTATTATTTTTGTTGTTGTTGTTGTTGTTGTTTGCTTTAGAACGTCACCGCCAAAGCCAGCCAGCTGAGTTTGATGAGGACATTGATGTAGATTTTATGAGGGCCATTCATCTTTCCCTGCTACAACACAGCACCCCAGCCAATCACAGAAGCCGAGAATCAAGCTCTTCTAGTAGCTCAGCAAGCTCAAACAGAGATCAGACACAGCCTAGGCAAGACATGGCCGCCGCCATGACAGTGTTCTCTACTGAGGATAGTGCCTCTCTACAAAGAGCCATAGAGTTATCACTTCAAGATTCTGCTGTAGGAGGTAGCTATTAACCCTTTAAACCCTAAGATCAAAATTTGAATTCTCATTTGTTGCCCCTATTCATTTTCTACAAAAGTAGTAGGGAGAAGTTGATAAACTATCAAGCAAATTCATCTTGTGTGATCATGTCTGTAATTCTCATGACCAGTCTGTTTTAGAAAGCACTGATATTACGAGGAGAAATTTGATGCTGATCACTCTTAATAAACTTGATAAGCATGCATTTTCTTCACACTCTTCTCAATACATTTCCCATGGTACTAATAAGGAGAAATTGAATAACAATCCAGACCGTTTTTACTTGCTGATCAGTTTCTCATCAGCCTCATGTTTGATTCAACAATAGTACTGTAAGGAAAAAACTACATGTTGGTTATTTCTCCTCAATAGCTAAAATAAATTGTTCTGCCTTTTAATTTTAAAAGGTTCTTGTCGGCCATAGTGTTTAGTTTCAATGAAGCTGCTATTTTTACTAACTGTTGGCAATGATTTTTCTCTCAGATATATCCTCGTCTCCTGATGACGATATCAAAAGAGCCATCAGACTCTCACTGCAGGACAGCGGTCTGCCCCCAGTGGGTAGTGATAGCAGTGGAAACACGGACAGATCATCTTCTCAAAACCAGCAACCAACACTTCCAGCAGATAGTGACAGTGATAGTGATGATGAATTCGTTGTTTAGGTATCTCCCTCCCCCTCCCTTCCTCCCCTCTCCCTCCCCTCTCCTCCATTGAATCGGGTAAACTACTGTTACCTACTGTAGCCAACATGGACGTGTGAAATCCTACGCCATTTTCTCAATCTCTTCACTGTCAAAACAGCCGATCCACTGCGCCGCCGCTTAACGCGACGTCTGTGCGTCCCTTTTTCTTTCGATATCAATACGATTGACGTCAATCGAATTACTATCGGCAAATATCTAAATATCTTCCAATTTTGGTCAATGCTAGTTGGTTATGAATAATTAGCGGGGAGATTTAAGCCATTCAGATATAAAATATATTTTGAATGCCATGATAAATAATGTTAAATATAATTTCTCTATACTTTTACCTAGATATATTAAGG